TTAACACCCCCTGGAAGGGCAGGAAATCCAATGGGAAGGAGTTGGGAAAACAATTCTCTGCCAGTAAAGCTTTTCTGGACAAAAAGAGGGATTGGGAATCACGGCCCTCCAACCATAAAGATCATTTTTGGGGCCATTTTGGTGGAATTTTGGGGCTGCTTTGACGGCTCCATTCCCTGTCCTGTTCATTCCAGGAATTCAGGGAGATGACCAACATGGGATTTGGGATTTGAGAGCTCATGCCAAGGTGAGAATTCCCTACTCTCCTTGTCTTTAAAGCCCTGGGAGGTGGGACTTACATTCCTGAACTTGGCTGTCCAGGAATCCATGTGATCCAGGAGCTGCCTGTTCATCGTCACCCGTGCCCAGACCTGTGGAAAGAACACAGGAAAAACTCCTGGAATATCCACATTTTTAGGCTCTGTGACAATTCCTGCCACTTCCAGAGGAAGGAAACTGGTTAAACACCGGAGGATTTTCTCCTGCCCACATTCCAACCCAAACCTTGGCACAAAATTTTGCTTTTCCAAGGCCCGTTCCTCCCTTTGGAGCGCTTTTCCTGCCGGATTTACCTCCTCTGCCGCCTGTTTGGAGCTCAGATCCGCCTCGTCCTTGTGTGCTGAGGGAGCCTGGGACCTGCAGGCCAGCTGGTACTGGAATTTCCTCAGGATCTGGGCGTGGTCTGCCATGGAGCGGCTGTAATTCCAGAAGGTTGGGCTGCTGGAAGGGGAGCTGGAGTCGGAACTCCCTGGAATGAGGCAATCAGTGAAGTCACAATTATTGCCAATTAATCCTGGAAGCGACAGCACAGGGACAAATCAGAGTGAAGGGATCCACTGGAGTCACTCTGCAGAAACTCTGGATTCAGCCTTGTATGGATTGGCCTTATCCAGGGAAAAACAGCCTGGAGGGAGTTCATTCCCTTTTATTTTTATCTGGATTGTCCCTATGCAGGACAAAAACTGCCTGGAGGGAGTTCATTCCCTTTATCCTTGTCTGGATTGTCCCTATCCAGGACAAAAACTGCCTAGGGGTTGTTCATACCCTTGATCCTTACCTTGATTATCCCTATCCAGGATAAAAACTGCCTGGAAGGAGTTAATTCCCTTTATCTTTGTCTGGATTGTCCCTATCCAGGACAAAAACTGCCTGGGGGTTGTTCATACCCTTGATCCTTATCTGGATTGTCCCTATCAAAGACAAAAAGTGCCTGGGGGTTGTTCATCCCTTTATCCTTGTCTTGGTTGTCCCTATCCAGGACAAAAACTACCTGGGGGGTTCTTCATCCCCTTTATCCTTGTCTTTGTTGTTCTCATCCAGGACAAAAACTGCCTGGAGAGAGTTTATACCCTTTTATCCTTATCTGGATTGTCCATATCCAGGACAAAAACTGCCTGGAGGGAGTTCATTCCCTTTGATTTTTATCTGGATTGTCCCTATGCAGGACAAAAACTGCCTGGAGGGAGTTCATTCCCTTTGATTTTTATCTGGATTGTCCCTATCCAGGGTAAAACTACCTGGGGAGTCGTTCATCCCCTTTATCCTTGTCTTGGTTGTTCCTATCCAGGACAAAAACTGCCTGGAGGTACTTAATTCCCTTTTATCTTGATTGTTCCTATCCAGGACAAAAACTGCCTGGAGGGAGTTCATTCCCTTTAACCTTGTCTTGATTATCCCTATCGAGGACAAAAACTGCCTGGAGATAGTTTATACCCTTTTATTCTTATCTGGATTGTCCCTATCCAGGACAAAAACTACCTGGAGAGAGTTTATACCCTTTTATCCTAATGTGGATTGTCCCTATCCAGGACAAAAACGGCCTGGAGGGAGTTCATTCCCTTTATCCTTGTCTGGATTGTCCCTATAAAAGACCAAAACTGCCTGGGGATCGTTCATCCCCCTTGAACCTTATCTTGATTATCCCTATCCAGGATAAAAACTGCCTGGAAGGAGTTAATTCCCTTTATCTTTGTCTGGATTGTCCCTATCCAGGACAAAAACTGACTGGAGGGAGTTCATTCCCTTTATCCTTGTCTGGATTGTCCATATCCAGGACAAAAACTGCCTGGAGATAGTTGATACCCTTTTATCCTTATCTGGATTGTCCCTATCAAAGACAAAAACTGCCTGGTGGTTGTTCAAACCCTTTTATCCTTATCTGGATCATCCCTGTCCAGGACAAAAACTGCCTGGGGGGTTGTTCATCCCCTTTATCCTTGTGTTGGTTGGTCCTATCCAGGATAAAAACTGCCTGGAGATAGTTTATACCCATTTATCCTTATCTGGATTGGCCCTATCCAGGGTAAAAATTGCCTGGAGGGAGTTCATTCCCTTTAACCTTGTCTGGATTGTCCCTATCCAGGGTAAAAACTGCCTGGGGGTTGTTCATCCCCTTTATCCTTGTCCAGATTGTTCCTATCCTGGACAAAAACTGTCTGGAGGGAGTTCATTCCCTTTATCCTTATCTGGATTGTCCATATCCAGGACAAAAACTTCCTGGGGGTTGTTCATCCCCTTTATCCCTGTCTTGGTTGTTCCTATCCAGGACAAAAACTGCCTGGAGCGAGTTCATTCCCTTTATCCTTATCTGGATTGTCCATATCCAGGACAAAAACTGCCTGGAGGTTGTTTATCCCCTTTATCCTTGTCTTGGTTGTTCCTATCCAGGACAAAAACTGCCTGGAGATAGTTTATACCCTTTTATCCTAATGTGGATTGTCCCTATCAAAGACAAAAACTGCCTGGGGGTTGTTCATCCCTTTATCCTTGTCTTGGTTGTCCCTATCCAGGACAAAAACTACCTGGGGGGTTCTTCATCCCCTTTATCCTTGTCTTTGTTGTTCTCATCCAGGACAAAAACTGCCTGGAGAGAGTTTATACCCTTTTATCCTTATCTGGATTGTCCCGATCCAGGACAAAACTGCCTGGAGATAGTTTATACCCTTTTATCCTTATCTGGATTGTCCATATCAAAGACAAAAACTGCCTGGAGGGAGTTCATTCCCTTTATCCTTGTCTGGATTATCCCTATCCAGGACAAAAACTGCCTGGAGGTACTTCATCCCCTTTAACCTTGTCTGGATTGTCCATATCCAGAGCAAAAACTGCCTGGAGATAGTTTATATCCTTTTATCCTTATCTGGATTGTCCCTATCCAGGACAAAAACTGCCTGGAGGTTGTTTATCCCCTTTATCCTTGTCTTGGTTGTTCCTATCCAGGACAAAAACTGCCTGGAGATAGTTTATACCCTTTTATCCTAATGTGGATTGTCCCTATCAAAGACAAAAACTGCCTGGGGGTTGTTCATCCCTTTATCCTTGTCTTGGTTGTCCCTATCCAGGACAAAAACTACCTGGGGGGTTCTTCATCCCCTTTATCCTTGTCTTTGTTGTTCTCATCCAGGACAAAAACTGCCTGGAGAGAGTTTATACCCTTTTATCCTTATCTGGATTGTCCCGATCCAGGACAAAACTGCCTGGAGATAGTTTATACCCTTTTATCCTTATCTGGATTGTCCATATCAAAGACAAAAACTGCCTGGAGGGAGTTCATTCCCTTTATCCTTGTCTGGATTATCCCTATCCAGGACAAAAACTGCCTGGAGGTACTTCATCCCCTTTAACCTTGTCTGGATTGTCCATATCCAGAGCAAAAACTGCCTGGAGATAGTTTATATCCTTTTATCCTTATCTGGATTGTCCCTATCCAGGACAAAAACTGCCTGGAGGTTGTTTATCCCCTTTATCCTTGTCTTGGTTGTTCCTATCCAGGACAAAAACTGCCTGGAGATAGTTTATACCCTTTTATCCTAATGTGGATTGTCCCTATCAAAGACAAAAACTGCCTGGGGGTTGTTCATCCCTTTATCCTTGTCTTGGTTGTCCCTATCCAGGACAAAAACTACCTGGGGGGTTCTTCATCCCCTTTATCCTTGTCTTTGTTGTTCTCATCCAGGACAAAAACTGCCTGGAGAGAGTTTATACCCTTTTATCCTTATCTGGATTGTCCCGATCCAGGACAAAACTGCCTGGAGATAGTTTATACCCTTTTATCCTTATCTGGATTGTCCATATCAAAGACAAAAACTGCCTGGAGGGAGTTCATTCCCTTTATCCTTGTCTGGATTATCCCTATCCAGGACAAAAACTGCCTGGAGGTACTTCATCCCCTTTAACCTTGTCTGGATTGTCCATATCCAGAGCAAAAACTGCCTGGAGATAGTTTATATCCTTTTATCCTTATCTGGATTGTCCCTATCCAGGACAAAAACTGCCTGGAGGTTGTTTATCCCCTTTATCCTTGTCTTGGTTGTTCCTATCCAGGACAAAAACTGCCTGGAGATAGTTTATACCCTTTTATCCTAATGTGGATTGTCCCTATCCAGTACAAAAACGGCCTGGAGGGAGTTCATCCCCTTGATCCTCGTCTGGATTATCCCTATCCAGGACAAAAACTGCCTGGGGATTGTTCATCCCCTTTATCCTTGTCTGGATTGTTCCTATCCAGGGTAAAAACTGCCTGGAGGGAGTTCATGCCCTTTATCCTTGTCTGGATTGTCCCTATCCAGGGTAAAACTACCTGGAGAGTTGTTCATCCCCTTTATCCTTGTCTGGATTGTCCCTATCCAGGACAAAAACTGCCTGGGGGTTGTTCATCCCCTTTATCCTTGTCTTGGTTGTTCCCATCCAGGACAAAAACTGCCTGGGGGTTGTTCATTCCCTTTATCCTTGTCTGGATTGTCCCTATCCAGGGGAAAAACAGCCTGGAGGGAGTTCATTCCCTTTTATTTTTGTCTTGATTGTCCCTATCCAGGACAAAAACTGCCTGGGGGTTGTTCATATCCTTCATCCTTATCTTGATTATCCCTATCCAGAGTAAAAACTGCCTGGAGGTACTTCATCCCCTTTTATTTTTATCTTGATTGTCCATATCCAGGACAAAAACTGCCTGGAGGAATTTCATTCCCTTTATCCTTGTCCAGATTGTCCCTATCCAGGGTAAAAACTGCCTGGAGGGAGTTCATCCCCTTGATCCTTGTCTGGATTGTTCCTATCCAGGACAAAAACTGCCTGGAGATAGTTTATACCCTTTTATCCTTATCTGGATTGTCCCTATCCAGGAAAAAAACTGCCTGGGGCTTGTTCATCCCCTTTATCCTTGACTGGATTGTCCCTATCCAGGACAAAAACTGCCTGGGGGTTGTTCATTCCCTTTATCCTTATCCTGATTATCCCCATCCAGGATAAAAACTGCCTGGATTCACCTCCTCTGTTTGAAACCACCCCCACAAAACAACCCTCTCATCAAGGTGATCATCTTATCACCGCCAACAACTGCTACAGAGATCACGGATCAACTCACATTCCAAGCTCAGATCCAACCCAAAGGAATCCAAAGGAATAATCTGGAGGAAAGCTGAAGCTCCCAAGCCACAGAGATGTGTAGAAATCCTATTGTTCCCCCATTCCTCAGCAGATTAAGCTCCCAGGGATTCCCATAAAAGCTCTTTACTGGAATTTTCCTCACCCGCTCTCGAATAAAACCGACACTTTCCCGTTTCCAGACATTCCCACAAAATCCCGGATATTTACCCAGCTGCACTCTGTGCTGTTTCTCCTCCTCGTTCCTCAGGAAGGTGTCCAGGGATTTGACATCAGTGATGTAGTCATCCTTGTGGGTGTTGTTGTTGTAGAGGATGGGGGAGAACCTGTAGTGGGACCTTATCCCGCCGCTGTCCACAGCTCCCGTGGAATAGGGGGATCCGTTGGGAGAGTGGCTGAAGCTGGAAACCTTTTGGGGAGAGAGAAAAAAAACCCCAATCCTGGTGGGATTGTTTTTGTTTCCCTGATGCCTTAAGATTCTTTCAGTTTTTGGGTTTTTCTAATTTTTATAAGCTTTATAAGCAGTTGTATAAGTAGATTTTAGAAGCAGCAGCCCTTATTCCTCTACCCTCTTACACATTCCTCAATCCCTACATATCCCATTCCATGCTCCCATATCAACATCCTGATTGGGATATTCCATGCTCCCATATCAATATTCCAGCAGAAAATGTTTAGTCTCTCTTTAAGAGTTGGTTCTTTTGTTTAAGGACACTTTGTGCCTTGGCCTGAACCCCAAAAGTCCAGTCAAGAACGGGGTGAGAGACAAGAACTTGTGCTCTGAAGATGATGAAGATGATGAAGAAAAGCCCCCCAGCCCCAATTCCAAGGGGGTGGGCAAAAGATACGGGGTGGAAACACTTGGGATTTGGACAGACAATATTATAAATTGTAAATTATTACCATTTATATCCAATTTATATTACAAAATTATAAACTGTACACGGCTGAGGCGCGTCTGGTAATCTCATGCCTGGGTACAAATTAAACCCTTTTCTTATCTCACCCTCAATTAAATTGGAGTTGTTTTTTCCTCAGCTCCTGCAGGCAACATTCCCAAGGATCAGGCTCATCAGGGGATGATGTTCACACAGATCCACAGATCCACAGAATGGTTTGGTTGGAAGGGACCTTAAAGATCATCTTGTTCCAATTCCCCCCACTACCTAAAACTCAAGTATCTCCCAAAAACCAAAGCCAGGGGAACTTAAGCAATTTTATTTTAGAAGTTCTCCAATTTTATTTTAGAAGTTGTCCAATTTTATTTTAGAAGTTGTCCAATTTTATTTTAGAAGTTATCCAACTTTATTTCAGAAGTTCTCCAATTTTATTTCAGAAGTTCTCCAATTTTATTTTAGAAGTTACCCGATTTTATTTTAGAAGTTACCCGATTTTATTTCAGAAGTTCTCCGATTTTATTTCAGCAGTTCTCCAATTTTATTTCAGCAGTTCTCCAATT